GGGGAAGGGAGAAGCAGGCTTCCTGCTAAGCAGGGAGCCCGATGTGGGGCTCAATCCCAGGACTCTGGGATCATGACCTGAGCCGAAGGCAGATGCTTAACGACTGAGCCACCCAGGCACCCCAATCATCAAGTAACTTTATACATGTATAAATATTTCTCTTTGCCTTACCTGTCATATTGCAAGTCCTCTGGTTACTTTCAAAATGATACTGTCGTCGTGCTTGAGCAATGTACTCTGCAGCTTCTCTTTCTTGTATTTCTCTGATTTTCTTCTGTCCATATTTTCCCAGGATATATACTCCTCCGAGGACTGTGCCCAGGAAGATGCATTTCTTTTTATGACGTTTTAGAAAATTCCACATAGATCTCAGCATCCTCAGGCCCTAAAGGTACGGGCTGCCTAGGGGCGCGGGGTGGGGTGGGCAGTTCGCCAGGAAACCGTTTCCTCGTCGCTTGGCCCGAACGACCAGGCAGGACCGCCGTCGTCCCGTTGGGTGCTCTCCAGAAATCACAAACGCGACTTTCCGCAGAGACTGTCACCGGGGCGGGAAGGAGGCGTGGACTACAGCTGAGCAGCGGCGCTTTCTGTCGCTGCCGCCGTGCTGCGGCCCCCGCTCCTATTAGCTACTTTGTATGCATGCATGATAAAGCAACTCTTACGCTCATGGAGCCTCTTGAAAGAAAGATTTCTGTGGATGGCACAGTTAGTCTCCATTCCCACCTTTACCATGTACTATTGTTGTAAACACGAATCATGTGTGACTTCATCTTTGTGGGCCTCAATTTTTCCATCTGTCAAATGAGCATATTTTATATCTACCTATAAGCTATTATTGGGAGCATAAATGATTTAATATGTGTATAAAGTACCTAGTGCAGTGTTTGACATATAGTAGGAATTAATCAGTGGTAGCTACTATAATTATATAATTATTATAATCATAATTCTCTCATATAGAAGTATAATCTAACAAATAAAGTCAATCACTAGTGTCTGTCTTTCTCAACGGCCTCTTCCTATAAAGATATAATGGATCATGAGCAAAGTAGCTAAATCTGTGACTTTGTGATTTTTCTATTTCAGTCTTTATGAGAATTGTCTGATAACACCATACTGTAATAAGCACTGCAGTGTGTAGTGGGCTAAACAGCAGACTGAAACAGTACAAGTTTGACCTCTAGTAGCTTTCATACCATGATGCTGTGATAGTGGGAAAGAAGATGAAACTCCCCTATTTTTTTTTAAAGATTTTATTTATTTATTTGACAGAGAGAGACAGCGAGAGAGGGAACACAAGCAGGCAGAGTGGGAGAGGGAGAAGCAGGCTCCCCACTGAACAGAGAGCCCGATGCAGGGCTCGATCCCAGGACCCTGGGATCATGACCCGAGCCGAAGGCAGACGCTTAATGACTGAACCACCCACGCGCCCCTGAAACTCCCCTATTTTGAGTACAAACTATCCCCAAACGTTATATTGTTTTCCTTCACATATAGTTAACCACCACAACAATCCTATGGTAGGCACTCTTATTTCCATACTGATGCTTAGAGAGTTTATATAACTTCCCCAAGGTTGTAGAGTTATACTATGACCCAGTTAAAACCCTGGGTTGTCTGGCACCAAAGCCCTTGCCTTTCAACTATTCCACACTAAGCCCTTTCATGAGAACAGAAGTCACAAAATTTCCAGTTCTGCCTGCGCCATACACTTGGTTTGTGACCTTGAACAAAACATATCAATTTCTAGGCCTCAGTTTGCTAATCTCTAACATGAGATGATTGCATTATCTCAACTTGGTTCACTCCAGATCTGCAATTCTGTGCATACTGATTAGAAGAAATAATGATAATAAGTGCATTTGTGGCTGGGAAGGGGCGGTGGTCAAGATGCTGCTGGAGAGAGGGGATAGAAAAGCTATGCTCTGTAGCTGTCTTGTCCCTCTAGTTGGAGGTACACATGCCCAACGAGTTGACAAGCGGATGCTTTTCGAACATAAGATTACATCATTCCAATATCTTTCCATCTTACTTCAATGGCCTATCAGATTCTACTTGATTTTTCTGTCACCCCATTATCTCTCTAACCTCACTTCCTACTCTGGTTCTTGCTCACTCCACCATGTTGACCTCCTTACTGGTACTGGAATACATCAGGCACACTCTGGCTCAAACTACCCCACCTTCTTATGACCAGGTCCTTCATCTCCTTGGGGTCTTTGATGAAATGACACCTATATCCTGGGACTTTCCTGGACCACTTGTTTAAAATAACAAACCCCTCCTTTTCCAGCTATCCTCATACCACACCTGCTTCATTGTCTTCATAGTATGTATACCATCTAATACATGATACCTTTGATATCTTTATCAATTGCCTATACTCCCGCCTATAGAATGGAGAAAGATTTTGTCTCTATTGGTCACTACTGGATCTCCCATACCCTGAACAATCTTAACACATTTCTCTGAACACTCCAAATTATACCTATTTATAGAGCAATTTCTCCTGAAGAACTGATGGCAGACTGAACAGCTTCTGAACAACAAAACAAAAGATAGAGACAATGGTAAAAGAGAATGGCAAAAGAGACAGAGACAGGGTAACAAAAGGAACCCCCACCTTTGACAATGTGAACTGCAGTGGGGAGCTATAGTACTGAGGGACCGGGAACAGATGCATTTGTCCTTGGGCACAGAAAGAAAAAAACAGCCCAGCTTAAAAGTGCAGCTAGTTTATAAAAGATCTAGCCCTAGAACTCTGCCAAACGGTAGGGTGGGAGGGGCTGGTGAACATGGTCTATGCTCCCATCTACCTTGAAAGTGCAGACCAGTGAAAGGTCTGGGTGCCCTAACCTGCCTGCTGCTTCAGTAAGCCCCAGGCCCCACCAAGGAGACCACAGGGCAGTGCATACCAGAACACCCCAGTCAGCACTTGCTATAGCTCCAGCCTTTGTACCAAGGCGACACAGACACAAATTACCCCAGAACACTCCAGGCCCATACCACTTTGGCTTCAGATGGTTTGCTAGGGGTACCCCTGGCACAGAGCATTCTGGTACCTCCTGGCTGATACCTGCTTCATATCCAGCTGCTCTGTCAGGATGCCCCCTGCATGGAGTATCCTGAGAACCCCTGCCCTATGCCAGCCTCAGTTATAGCCACCCTGCCAGGGTACACCTGCTCCATGCAGAGCACCCTGGAACACTCCCACCCATGCTGGCCTCAGCTCCCAGTGCCTAGCCAGAGTGCCCCCTGTGCTGAGAACCCTGAAACATCCCAGCTTATACCCACTTCAGCTTCACTGTCCTGCCAAGGCACATTTTGTACAGAGAGCCCAGGGACAACACCAGCTACTACTTCAGGTTTAGCAGTCCTCTCAGGGAGCTGCCCATGTGGAGTACCCCTGAACCCCTTGGCTTGTACCCTGCCTTAGCTCCAGCCACTCCTCCAGGGAACTCTCTGTGTGGAGAGTCCTGGAACACCCCAGTATACACCCACTTCAGCTATTCTTCCAGGGGCCCTCTGCACACAGAGCACAGGAGCTTCACAGCATGCACACTGCCTCAGCTCCAGTTGCCCTGCCAGGGCACGCCCTGCATCAAGTGCCTTGAGACATTCCAGCTTGCACCCACTTCAGCTTCAGCCGTCCTGCAATGAGTATCTGCTACACAGAGCCCTAGAATTTCCTGGCCTGAACCCTGTCTCAGTTCTAGCCACACTCACAGGGAACTCTCTGTGCAGAGAGCCCTAGGATACCCCTGCTTATACCCATTTTGGCTACAGCTATCTTCATTGGTGCCCTCTGTGCATAGAACCTCAGGACCACTTGGCTTGCACTCACTTCAGGTTCAGCTGTCCTGCCAGGGCACCCTCTGAGCAGAGAACCTCAAAGCCACCCTGGCCCACATCCACTTCAGCTCCAGCTATCCTAGCACAGCCTAAAAGAGAGCAAGACAAAAACCTCAGAAAAAGACCTAAATGAAATGGAGATAACCAATGTGCTTGATAAAGAATTTAAAAATGATCATAAGGATGTTTACCAAGTTGGAGAGAAGAATGAAAGAACTCAGTAAGATTTTCAATAAAGAGATAGAAAATATAAAAAAGAACCAACCAGAGTTGAAGAATTTAATAAGTGAAATGAAAAATACACTAGAAGGAATTAACAGATTAGAGGATACAGAAAAGAAAAATAACAGCAGTCTGGAAGACAGGGTAACAGAAAGCACCTAAGCTGAACAGCAAAAGAGAAAAAAGTAAAAAAAAATGAGGCTAGGTTAAGCAATCTCTTGGATGACATCAAGAGAATAACCATTTATATTATAGGGATCCTAGAAAAAGAAGGAGAGATGGAGGCAAAAAACTTATTTGAAGAAACAATAACTGAAAACTTTCTGAACTTAGGGAAGGAAATAGACATCCAGTATCACGAAGCACAGAGTGTTTTAGACAGGATAAACCCAAGGAGTTCTACACCATAACACATAATAATTAAAATGTCAGATGTTAAAGATAAAGTGAGAATTTTAAAAGCATCAAAAGAGAAGCAAAAAGTTAGGTACAAGAGAAACACTATAAGGCTATCAGCTGATTTTTCAATAGAAACTGCAGACCAGAAGAAAGTGGCATGAAATATTCAAAGTGCAGAAAGGAAAAAAAAGTTACAACCAAAAACACTTTACCCAGCAAGGTTATCATTCAAAATTGAAGGAGAGATAGTTTCCTAGACAAACAAAAGTTAAAAATATTTATCACCACTAAAGCCATATGAGAAATGTTAAAGGGACTTCAAGTAGGAAAAAAGGCCATAATTAGATGTAAGAAAATTATAAATAAAAAATATAAATTATGACAGTATTTATTTATTTATTTTATTTTTTTTTAAAGATTTTATTTATTTATTTGAAAGAGAGAGAATGAGAGAGAGAAAGCACATGAGAGGGGGGAGGGTCAGAGGGAGAAGCAGACTCCCCGCCGAGCAGGGAGTCCGATGCGGGACTCGATCCCGGGACTCCAGGATCATGACCTGAGCCGAAGGCAGTGGCTTAACCAACTGAGCCACCCAGGCGCCCAAATTATGACAGTATTTAAATAAAAGGTGAAGGAGGGAGTTTAAAAAAATGGAGGTTTTTTTTTTTTTTTTTAGAATGTGATGGACTTAAATGACCATTAACTTAATATAGACTACTATATACTTAGGATGTTATTTATATATGAACCTCATGGTTTATAACCCAAACCCAAAACCTATAATAGATACATAAAAAATAAAGAAAGTGAAACATAATACTACATAAACTCATAATAGATACATAAATATAAAGAAAGCCAAACATAACACTACAGAAACTCATCGATCACAAAGAAAGAGAACTATATCCTGCCTACAAGAGGCTTCACATCAGTCTGAAAGTGAAGGGATGGAAAAAAATTCACCATGCAAATGGCAGTGAAAAAATAGCCAGGATGTCAATACTTACATCAGACAAAATAGACTTAAAGATTGTAACAAGAGACAAAGAAAGGCACTACATAATGATGAAAGGATCAATCCAACAAGAATACATAACAGTCTAAATATCTATG